TAGATTAATTATAATGCTTCCAATTTTAGAAGAGACATTGTGAGTTTATCCATAGGGTTGATTTCTAGAAATGAAATTGTAGAATCAAAGATACTAACTTACTTACAGGTTAGTATCATATAACAGTTCTTTTTTTAAATTTTATTTTGAATGTAGTAAAAATACAACAGAGCAAGACAGAACAGAGCCAATCAAGACAATGTAGTGACATTAGTACAGAACTTCACAGCAGGATACTGGGATAGTAGTAATAGGTACTATAGGATATCTTGTTATCTTCACAGTAGGTGTAGCAAAATCAAACCAATAACAGACCATTGTAAAACCAATTGAAGGAGAATATTGAATAGAGCAAAACAATCATTACAAAACAAAACAGTGAAAACAACCTTTGCCTTCAAACAGAACATAGAAGGAAATCCCGCATATTTGCTCTATTGCATGTGGTCATCCTCCCAAGAGATGCTCAGAACTCTGTCCCCAGTTGCTGACTCGGGTGGGGAATGTTTGATTCTCAGCCTGCAGGCCAGGCTCGCTGAAACAGCTGACTGGTTCTCCTCCTAAAGGTGCTTACCAAAGGCGCTCCTCCAGGGGCGCTTACCAAGAGGGTGGGCAGACTGCCTTTTTGTGCAGCTGCCTAAGTCCCAATGTGGCTGAGTCAACAGTTCTTTTAATCACTTCACTTTTCAGTCAGATTTGTGTAAATTCATGCATATACATAACATTGAATTTATGTATGTTGGATTTAATTAAGGTGAAGAGTTTTCCAACAAGAGATGACCTTTCATCTCTTGAGTTATGTTTAAAGAACAATGCCTCCAACTTAGTATGAGCTATGTATATACATTTGTGTTTGTGTGTAGTTTTGGCTTTAACCTATTGTCTTACATAAGTGGAAAATGAAAATTCACGTTAGTTTTTTCACATAGCTAATGTGCAGTATTGTTAAAGTAGTTGTTAGGAATGTCAGTGTTAATATTTGTACCAATGGGACTGTTCTGGCAGGTTGTCTTCATTGGAATTTTGTTAGCAATCTATTAGTTTGTACCTTTGGCTCGTTTTTGTTGTTATTGTCATATTCTTCTTACCAGTGAATTAAAAGCATAGGGGGAGGTTGCTCTTTGAAACATAAAACTAAGTTTGAAAATGAGAATATAAATCCGCAACTCTTATAAACTTAGTAAACTGGGTTTCAGTATTTATAAAGAACATTAAGTCTGTCTTTGGAGAAGTAACTCTTTTTGATGATTTTGAAAATATTTGTGGCTGGACCTGTTGTATATGTCTATAGTCCCAGCAATGAAAAATCCAAGACTGGAGGACATAAATTTGAAGACTGCCTGGGCTACATAATGAGTTTTTAGTTGGCCTATACTGTATAGCAAAAACTGTCTCTGACCTCTGTCCCTACTCCCCCACGAAGAAGCGAAGAAGGTATTTAAAAAGGGAGAGTTCAAACAAAAGCTGTGGTAACTACTGAAATGATCCTTAATCCATTTCTGTCCAGTTCTCTACACGTTTAATGATATGGAACATGAGCAGAGAACATTCTCATTGAAGTTTTGAAATTTTCACCAAAATACAGTAATAATTAAGAAAGTCACTCTGGAATAAATTAATCAATAAATGTTATTAATCATGTTATGAGATAGAAGATGTAGAGTCATCTTTTATTGGTTCCACTGCTTATGACAACAATGGGTACAAGTCACACCATTCCTATGACTTTTCTAAAGGTAGCCATTAAGAGTGGAGACTTGCTTGGTGACAGTGCCGAGTGACCTGAGGGTGAAATCTCTACCAAATGCCATTGTTAAATGTTCCGTCCTGCCAATGGCACCGTGACATGCATCGTGACACAACACTCATCTACATGTGCTGCTACATATTGCGCTTTGTACTTACATGAAGCTGTGTGTACACAGAATTCGGAGTCACCTCGATGCATGTATGCAGCATAACTATAAGAAATATTTGGATTTTTGTTTCTTTGGTATATATAGTATAGAATGTCTTCATATAGGAAAATAAAATCCTTGCATTATTAATAATCATTTTGTGAGCAAAGATATAGTCTGGAAAGGCACATTTGGAATAGTGTTGCTAGAATATCAGTTGTATATGTGGTCAGGAGTGTTATTAAATTAAGGATTTGTTTCTGAATGCAATTTATGTACTGTTTTTCCATTTCATTGTTAGTTGTTTTTTGGCTCTAGTGATAAAAATAATACTAAAATTTTCATGAGATCAGATATGGCCGTCTTGTATGTTTAGCATGTTCTATGAAAAACAATGGGTTCATTTCTTTTCCTCTGTTTGACAGAGCAGAGTGCTCCCTAACTTTCTGCAAAGTGTAGAAGAAGTAATATTTCTGTTTTCAGAAGCAGCTAGCATATTTTAATGTTATATTTAATGTGTTTACAGCTAGAAGCTTATAGGTTAAATACAATTAGATATGGAGAAATAGTATCAAGTTAGTTTAAGATCAAGGATCTTCATCACTAAGAAGTAATTTTCTGAAATTTCATGATTTTCTTCTATTTTAAAAAGAAAACAAAACACAAGGTAGAAGTAATACAAAATTTTTACAAAATTTTTGTAAAAATAGGAAGTTAACATTAGTTAATATATTACATATTGTTATCTTAGAAGTAGTTGTTTAGGTTACAAAATTTAGACATGAAAAATATGATCAATGAGAACACAAACTGTTTATGGAGATAAGTAGTATAGCTACCTATCTTATAAACACTTTCAGTTTTTTTTACACTAGGAAGACAATATGGTATTTCTCACGTTTACAGCAACACAATTTGTAATAGCTAAATCTTGGAAACAACCAAAATGCTCAGCAACCATGGAATGGATTAAAAAAATGTGACATATTTATGCAATGGAGTATTACTCAGCTATAAAGAAGGATAAACGAGAGGCTTTTATAGATAAATGGGTGCAGCTTTTGACCATACTCATAAGTGAAATAGGTCAAACCCACATAATTTTTTAAAATGAAGATTGAAATTAGTGCTCTATTTTAAAACTATATTCAGATACCATAAAAGGATTTTAGGAAATAGTTTTTTTAAATCTGGCCAGAATTGATTTAAAAAAGCTATACATCATTTGTTTAAGTTGAAACTACTTTTTAGTGTGTGATAGATATCAAAAATAATCTTTGCATACCTGTATAATTTTTGGTTCATGTTTGATCCCGTTATCAAGTATTTAATATACATGTGATATTTATTGACATGTTCTTTTAACTTGTGGCCAGATTTTATCATCTTAGAATATGAAAGGAAATCAACTTGATGTTGAACTGTAGTATCTGCTGCAGGAATGACTATGTATTAAATTACTGTGGTAAACCATTGCCAGATAATTGTATGTTAGTATGAAAGTGTTAATTTTGTTTTGTTTTCACTATTTGAAAGCTATGATGAATTTTGGCAAACACTTACAATTAATAGTTCCAGCCGAACTTTAATTAAATCTTTCAAGAAGCTATACTTCTTTTTAAAGTATATTTGCACTATTTCCTAGATGCATTTTTCATTTATTTAGTTATCTTAGATAAAACAGTTTCTCTAGTCTTGATGTCCTCAGTTGTCAAATGGGAATAGTGGTAATTAAAGGCTATTGCAAGATGAACATGGAGGTGTTCATTTGAGGTCACAGCACTTGTGGGTCTTTTAAAAAAGATCGATTATTTACTTTATTTTATTCAATCTTAGCAAGTGCTTTGTAATATTAGATGTATTGCTCTTTTTTATGTTTGTGAGAAGATAAATCCCTAACTAATAATGGTATTAAATGGTAGTTGTTAGTGTCTGAATCTAAGTCCTTTGATTCTATATGTCTTGCTCTTGGAAGTATTTCTTTTCCCCCTTTCATTCATTAATGGATCTCTAGCATTTAATGTAGATTCATAATGAAAAGATTATTTTCAGAAAACCTATATTAAGCCACTATATGTGTTATATCATCACTTAATCTAAGCTCTTATATAAAGTTCTTATTAGCAGTTGATTTTTAAGGGATCATGTAGAAGGTAGTAAGCTGGAAGTCTTGGCAAGAAAACAGTAGTCATGGGAGAGTTGCCCTCTGAGCTGCTCATTCTGGCTGTAAGATATCTTCCTGAAATCTACCTTTTCTTAGGCAAGCTTTCAAAACACACTGCAACAGTAACAACCAGGGTCATAGCTGGTTTTGGGTATGTCTTGGGTTGTTCATTTCAGAAATTGATGAATTTATAATTTCTTTTGCTTGCATGGTTTCAAACAGTTGTGCCTGTAATTTGGGTTGCTGATGTCTTCTTACCAGGAATTTAAAAAAAATTTTTTTATTTTAAAGAGATTAAGATAAACGAGGACATAACAAAGCAGATCAGAACGGAACAATTTAAGCAACACAGTATTTCACCACAAAACAACCTGATATAACAGTAGCTACCATAATGTCTCTTTCCTTGAAATAGTTGAGCATACCTTCATACACAATAGCATCAAACATAACAAAATAGTATAAAACCATGAAAGAGAATGAAAGTATTACAGGGCATTCAGAACCAAACTATATTATCCCATTGTCCATAAAAAATTTGTTTATAGTACTACACATGACAAAGTCCAGTAAGATACTACATGATAGAACCAATGGAAAAAGAAAAAAAAAAAACTATGGTAGGACTTCAAAACAAGATGATTTTAAATCAGCACTGGCTATTATAATATCTTGTTTTCTTCCAAATAGCTGTTCATACCATCACAGATAATAAAATCAAATAATCCAGGATAAACTTAGCAGGATTTTTACAGTAATTTCTTTTTAAAAGTTACACTGATCCTAAATTGTTGGAAATTGTGATAAAGTTAAAGTTTGTAATGTAGAACTGTAACCCCATCAGTAACCACTTTTGTAAACTTTTAAAATACCTTGAATTTGAGTTACTGTGCCATTTTTCTTCAAATTAAATTATTGTTCTTGCTATTCTTTGACAGACCCCTTATCCCTCTGGACAGAATGCAGGTCCAACCACGTTGGTATACCCTCAAGCCCCTCAGACAATGAATTCACAACCTCAAACCCGTTCTCCGGTAAGTAAACAGAAGCTGCTTCTAGATAATATTCGCCATCTAATTTTGTGTCTTTATAGTAGCTTGGATTCTTTTGGCAAATGTTTTTATTGACTTTTAGAAGTTTGTTCCAAAGATGATCTATCAACATTATTTCTAAATGTTATTTTTTATTAATGTTGTGTTTTTAGGCCTTGTCTTAGGAATAATTCTATTTACATTAAGAAAAAAAGGTGCTTTTAATTTTTTACTTTTTGTGGCATGATTTTTAAGTCTGACTGCATTCCACTTTATTTCAGCTCTAAATGTGTTGTACTGTTCAAAATTCAGAAGTATAACGATTTTTAAAAGTAAACTGAATTTCACTACTTAGACTCAAAATCCAGTGGTTTGGGGAGACTTCTGAATCAATGTGACTAGAGCAGCTCTGCCATTTGACAGTGTGAACATGTGCATGACGTATACCAAGGTTGTATTTATTTCTTCAGTTAGTAAATAATCATACTGTCTTCCTCTTTGTTCATCCGTCACACGGATTGCAGCAAGTACTGCAAAGACTGAGAATTTACTTAAGGTTCATCCTTCTGATTCATAAAAATGTACAGTGGCTTCAGCTCTCCATTCCTTAGACTGTTGTTTCCCACCCTGCATGATTAGCTTTGGCTAGAAGGTGCTTCTGTAACATCTCTCATTGTATTTCATATCCCTCTTTGAACCTGAGCTCTGTGTATTCTTCTGAACACAGGAATCTTCTTTTTGTTCTCCACCCCTGCTTTTTTGTCTGGAGTAGAGGAAATACTTCATTGCATTAGCTCCTATTTATTTGGTTTTATGCATGAACTTCGAGTTGTTGAAAAGTACCAAAGAATTGCTCAAAGAACTAGGAAGGGGTAGACTGTACCAATATGTAATCTATTTTCTTACCCTCTTTTCTGTCTTCCTTTTCCCTGTGACCCTCTTCTCCAATACCCATTCTTAGATCCTCGTTCTCCCCAGTGGGTGCAGGAGCCATTCTAAAGAGATGGGACTTTGGTCCCAGTTGCCTGTGTGCTTGTCTCTTTTTTTGCTGAAATAGTCAAAATAATGTCTAGTTTTATTCTGAAAGTGGTTTGGGGATGTGGACACTTAACTACTTGGAGCGGGCCTGAGATCTCACCATATCAATTTAGATAGGCCCTGGTTCTAATCATTAAGCATGGAAGATATGGTAAGCTCTTAATGCAAAGAATTCTTTGGACTTCTTACCCTTGCCCCCCTTTTAATTATTGGGGAAAAATAAATTTATGTGGTTAGAATTGGCGCAAAACCTGACTGAAGAGCTGCATCTCTAAACCAGTTTTTTTGACAGCCCAGCAGAACAGTGCCAATACATTGCACAGACAACTGGAAGAGGAGGAAGGTTTTGGAACAGACTCCCGTTTACAGGTCCTTGGCTGGAAGAGGCTGGATAAAATACTGCATTGTAAGCAATATAACAAACTGTACTTCTTGCAGGCAGTGGTGCCTCTGGCACTCATTATTTTTGACCACATCCACTTACTGGCTGATGAACAGAAATGCATTGATTGCTTCCTCTCTGGAAGTCTAACCTAGCATGGCAGTTTCTGCCAGGCAAAGTGGGAAAAAGAATAACAAATTGGGTGGTGTTTTTCTATTGGGAATTAGTCAGGAATGATTTGGGATTTAGATTTTTCTTTGTTTTAAACTCATGGGATATACCATTCAGATAAATTTGAATTTGAAAGATAAATTTCAGGGCTTCTTCCCCTCCTTTCCATTTGATAATTGACTGTCATGGGGGAAATTGTCTGTAGTTGTCAGCCATTTTTTTGTGGTCATAAAGTCTTCAGATAGTATCCTTTATACAGTTTTTGCCATCTGCTCTGCTAGTGACCATTACCACACCCATTACTAAAATCCACATGTATAACATTTCATTGCATACCCCAAAACAAGTGCAAGACTAGCAGAGCCCAGTCTACTCTTGCTTATTGTTTTGGGTCCAGTATTTATTTCATTTGCGTTGATGCTGGGAGGGTAAAGTTGGGGTATAAAGTTGGCAGGAATGCATTTTCTGTTTCCATTCCAAGTTGCCATAGTCTATCCTCATTCATCCCATAGCTGTCCCGAGGGGTGAGGAGAGGTAAGGCATTGCATTAAGGAAGGACACTTTCCCGTGGCTTTGTAGAGAAGCTAAAGCTTACTCCATTCTATTTCTGCATTAATAGGCCATTGGCAATTGCACAGTTTAGGCTTTTGTGCTCTTCCCTGGACAGCTGTCTTTGCAATCCAACTGGCTTCAAATGAACTCCCTTGCTTCTTTGTACCTGTATTTCTATTTTATACTCAGTGACTTAGTTACATTCATAATTGGGAAAATCTTGTTAAAAGTAAAAAATATTTATAAGCTACTTATCTTCCATTTTCTTGTTGGGCTGGAACTCTGTTTAAACAGTAGTTTATTTTGAAATAGACTGTTAAAGTAATGACACTATTGAAAGCTTTAATTGGAGAAGGGCCGGTTTGGCTTTTCACTGACCTGTCACTGTTAGTTACTTTTATATTTTGTGGTGCTTAGTGCCACATATACACAAATATTGTTACACATATACACAAATATTGTTATGTTGGCCTGCTCAGTTCCAACTGTGCATAAAAGGTGAGTGAGTGAGCGAGTGAGCGAGTGGTGGGAGGTGGGTGGCTGGCGGCATTGACATTGGATTCGAGTTCACATGAGGCTGCTTTTCTTTACACTACAATCTTCACCACCTTAGACCCCTCTTTGGGAAAAAAAAAATAGGTGTCCTTTTTAATATGAGCCAGCAGCGACTACAGTTTGTTCTGTTGCTTACAGCTACCCACAGGATTAAGATTGTTGTCATTCCAGTAAGAAAAACTCAATAGCCAATGGTGACTAGTGCAAAATAGACTAGGGTACTCTCCGAAATTTAAACTGTGGTTTCCTTTTGTTAAAAACATTTGTATAATTTTATAAAATAGTTTTTGTGTACTAAGAAGTGCTCTTTTGAGTAGAACATTCCAAAGGTATAAAGTTTCTATTTTACATGAGAGCCTTGTGACCTTTCTGTGGGACAGTGATAAGACAGGTACTGCTGTACTCAGGTTAATTTTTAACATTTCCTTTCTCTCCCATTTCTTCCAAAGTGTCATGAAAAACTAGCTCATTTCCACCCTCTACTTTCATATATCATATGGGTGGTATTGCCTAAACTTTGATGTGAATAATAGAGGAATCATCAATTACTTCTTACACTCAGAAAAGTGAAAATATAAGACCTCAGTTTCTTTGAAGACAATATTTTCTGAAAGAACCATGGCTACTGATTATCATCATTTTGAAAAACTACATGACAGTCATAGCCAGATAGGATGGCTTACTTTTAACACACTCTTTAAGTATACAGGTCATTAAGGTACTTTTCATTACTGAAGCAGTAGGTGACATGTTAGCTTCTGAAAGGTGAATTCTTGAGAGAGCTGTCTTCAGTGGTCCTTTTTGTGGCCAAGTACTCCACCAAAATTTGTTTAAATTTTTTGAACAATGTGAGAAACATGAGTATGAAATAATAGCAGTTGGCAAAGTAATTCTGAATCTCTTGCAAATTTGTGTTGCATGTGATTTATATTCTGAGCACGAAGATTGTTTCTTAATCATCTTACTCATTTACAATGATAAACTCGCAGAATGTTCTAGATAGTGAAACAACTAAAGGTACATATATTTGAGTTCCTTTGGATATATTAATGAAAGCCCTGTATGGTTTGTATTCAAACTGCTTTTTAAATATTTTCTTTTGAATTTTGAAAAGTGCGGTTAACATTTTAATAATACTTATGGTATTAGTAGCTGGTATTTGGCTTTCCATGCCCAATTTTTTTTTCTTTTTTAGTTAAAACATCTTAGAAGCCAAATTTTGCTCTGATGAATTATTTTCATTTTAAGTATTTGGTATTTAAAAATTTAATGAATGAGAAAGCTTTTGATTCTAAGAGGAAGCATTGAAATCTGTTAATTATTGTACAAGTACATGTACTCTGCCATTTAATTGAGAAGTTATGTTTCTTTTTGCTTTTATTTTCTGATCATGTGGCACTAGGTTCCTATGTATCATGTTCTGCTACTCAATAAGTAACAGTGGAGAGATTTGACTGCCTGACTTTTTTTTCTGTACAAGCCTCTAGCAGTACCATTGGGTTAATCATGTTAGACACTTGTCTTCTTTACTAGCTGTTCTATTTTACTTGTTTGCTATTAAACCTTAGCTAATTGCACTTGTGTGTGTGTGTGTTTGGATATATATGTGTGTTTGGAATAAAATTATATATAATTTTATTCTTAAATTCCATAAAATAAACTATTGAATCATTACATTCATGTGTAAGCTACTCCAGAAGAAGATTTACAATCAGTTCTGGTACATTGATTATTTCTAGCCGGACATTTTAATTATGTCCTGGCTATTTCTTGTAATGCAGAAGTATTTCTTGTGTCCTTAAGCTTTACTGGTTACATACAACATACTTGATTTTCATGTTTGTCTTAATAAAATTAGTTTTCAAACTTCAGTTTGCCTTATTCAGGGATTTACTTATTTGAAATACTCTTCTATCAGTGAATACCCTAGGTGCCTAACAGCTTAACTGGTTCCCAGCTGATAATGCCGAGCTATCTTGCTAGTGATGTTAACCTGTTGAATCTTAGTACCTGTCTGTCACTGTCCTGCAGCAAAGCTTTGACTGTTTTGTGTTTTTATTTTTATTGTGGGTTTTTTCTTTTTGCATATTGTGTGACATTTTGGTTTTTGTTGTGGTGTTTCTGACTCTTTGTGCCTTTCCTTTTGTGTTTGTTTTCCCTCCTTTCCTCAGTTTGCAGCGGGGCCTCGACCTGCCCATCATCAGGTACTGTACCTTTGGCCCTTTGCCTCTTCACTATCACCCTTAACTAACAGGAGGGGGCTTCAATAGCCACTGACTCTTAGAATGCTGCCAGGCCATGAAACCACCGAAATTACTCTTTTTAGGAATAACTTCCGTGCGGTATAATTCAGTTTGTTTTGTCCTTCACGGATCTCATTGCATTTTGTTATTAACAAACCCATTTATTCTGTTTACAGTATAATTTTAAAATACTGTGTTTTTTTTCTTTCCCCAGAATATTGCTTTGAATTTAGATAACTTTGAAAAAGATTGATATATTAACTTATCACAGACTTTGTGCATCTGTTTTAAGTTTAAATTTAACTAAATAAAACAGGCAACATTCTAAGGGTTTTTAATATTAACATTCTGATATAATCTGTGTTGATGTGTTAAAATAGCATTAGTATTTCTAAAACTAGTATTTCTAATCTTATTTCCTTAGACCTAACAAATTTATTAACAACATTGTACATTTATTTTCTGTATAAGAACGATGTTTATTCTTATAATACAAAGACAATAAAGACCTTATTTATTTTAATATTTTAGCCTATTGGTTTTTTAAAACAAATTATTGTAGGAATTAAAATTTCAAAAATGTGCATAGCAATACTATGTGTGTGTTTGTTTTTTTTAAAGCCAGAATCTGTTAGAGGCGGCAATATCAGAGAAAAAGACTTGTAGTAAGAGACCTTTAATAGCTACCACAAATAGTTTTTTGTGGAGTACTCTGAAAATTTTCTCCTGGGGTAATAGGCAGAGTCTATTCGATTAGCATATGACAGGTGTAGGTTCATATTACCAGGTTGGTTGTATAACCTTAATTAAGCAAGTCTTCTGAGCCTCAGTGTCCTTATATGTTAAATAGTGATGAGAAAGAGAGACTGTTACAAAGTGTATTATGTAAAGTGTCTGACACAAAGTAGACAGTCAGTGAATTGTAGCTGTTTTTCATATTATTAAGCAGCATAGTATTGTAGAAAAATGAGAGGGATAATCTGTATTATATTTAAGTATTGTTTTATTTTATGTTTCTGAGATGGTCAGGGGGTTTGACCTCCGAGCTTTTCACTGGTAGTACTTTCCAGCCCTTCTTTTATTTTTGTATTTTGAGACAGGGTCTCTCAAGTTTTTCAGGCCAAACTTCAAGTTGAGTCTTCTTGCATCTTTGTCCCAGAGTGCTAGGATTGCAGGCCTGTGTCACCTTGCCTAGCTCATACTTTCAGTATCCTTACTGACTTAGTGGATATTATTTAATTGATGGCTTCCATTATTTTTGAGTGATTTACTAGAACACTGCTTTGTTAAAATGTAGTCTTTCCAGTTTGGAGGATTTGAAGATTGGATTTTGAGATGTTACAAGTACTTTGTTGGAGAACTAACAGATGGCTATATGTAGTAGGTGACTATTTGGAGTTCATAAAAAAAAAAAAACTTGGGTGGCTTTTATTTTAGTTCAGTTCATTTTATCTTATTTATTTGAAGAGATGGTATCATACAGAGTTTTGCATCAACTACACCGAGGCTTAACCCCTTATTAACTGCATATTCCTGGATAAGTTGTTTACTTACCTAAGCCTCGGTTTTCTTAAAATGGAGATAGTAATATCATTTCAAGACCTATATGAAGAATAAATGACATTGCAAATAGAGTAGGAATCCAGGACATATGATGATAAACAGTAACTAATAAACATAGCTCTTTAGGTAAAAGAGTGATTATAAATTTTTTTTTTAAAGTTAAGGCCATAGAGCCCAAGTTTAAATTTTAGGGTCAAACCAGAAATTCCTGAAAAAAATGTGAGAGATCTTTGCATTTAGAAGCAGACCCAAAAATAATGCCATTTACAAATTAAGTGGAGAGAAGGAATTCAGGAGGAAAGTTCTCTGAGTTCTTGATAAGCCACTGTTTTTAGTTTCTTTGTTTATATGTTTTTGACTTGCTTTCCTTCTCCTCCCTCTTTTTTTCTTTTCTTTTTTCTTTTTCTACAGGATCTCAGCATGTAGTCAGGGTCAGGTTGGCCTCAAACTCACAGTGATCTTCTTGCCTCAGCCTTCCTAGTGTTGAGATTATAGGCAGGCACCACCCTGCCCAGTTTAGTTTATGGTTTTTAAACTTTGGTTTCTTTTAAAAATAATTTCAGAGAGCATAAATATAAGCAATCAACATTACCTTTGGCTATAGTCTTTTGGTGGATTATCTCCAGTATAGGCTGCTAGAATGATGGGTGATTTTTTTTTTTTGTACTGGGGATTGAACTCACGACCTCCTGTTTGCCAAGCAGGCACTCAGGCATCTTTTAACGACTGTTACTCTAGCCTGGGAATTAGCTCAACAGCACAGTGCAAGGTTGTGAATTCAAATCCTGGTACCAAAAATACATACATATATACATACATACACAGTGTTCTTGCAAAAAAAATTTAAGACTATTACTCTGAAAAATTCTAAGTTCTTCATGAATGTAGCATAAACTTAAAGGATAAGTGTAATACTGGGTTTAGTTGTAGGAAGTAATCTCAGATCAGGATGTTGTATTTAAGCATTTTAGTTAGTTTTGAGAAATTTTGTTTTCTGATTTTCCTATGAGTGTTAAAGGCATGTGATTCCCTGATTCCAACAATCAAGGAAAACTTTCAGAAATTTTTGTTAGGAAAATACTGATTTCAGGACACATTTTTCATGTGTAATATGATTCAAGAAAGTGTTAGCAGGCTGGTTTTTAATTTTAATTTAGGATGATGCTTATGAAATTACAGCTTGTTCTGATTATTTAAAATTACAACTAAACATTGAATTATTTATTCATTAGTGGGAAAAATAATTTAACGATTTGACAATGAATTTCTGAGATGGAACATAAATCTAGAGCATTCATTCATTATTTATTTATTTATGGTACCAGGGATCGAACTCATGACCTTGTGCTTGCCAGGCACGTGCTTATGCTACTAAGCTAAACCCCCAGCCCAGAGCCTTCATTTTGAACACAAAAATTCAGAGGTTGATGTGATGATGTGTGCCTATAACCCCCCGCACTTGGGAAACTGAGGTTTACTGTTTGAGCACAATTTAGACAACTTAATGACTTAACAAGACCGTCCTCCAACTTTAAAAAGAAAGTAATCATAAAAAGGGTTAGGGATTCACTGTGAAGGTCCTAGGTTCAGTCCTCAGTTGTGGGAGGAGGGGTACAAATTCAGTTGGATGAATGACTTTCTTCTGGAATTTTTTCCAAATACTACTTTAATTCTTTTCATTATACCTCAGAATTAAGTGAGTAAGGACATCTGTCGCACTGGGTGAGGCAGAAATAGTCATTATTTGCAGAAATGGAGAGAGAGAGAGACATTGGAGTTGGAATGACACTGTCAAGTAAGAGGCGCCTACATCAATGTTGTGTATGTTATAGGGTGAATAGTACTTAGTGTACTGCATTTTTAACCCATGTGGGGCAAATTTGGTTTGTTTCATTATGTAATAAATGTAGTTTGACATTTTGGGTGCATGACCAATTTATGAAAACCAGGAAAGTAATTGCTTGTTATAAGACTGTTATTCATTGTAATGATCTAGAACCTATAAAATGCATTTTTTCCTATGAAAAGTGAAGTTACCTGAATTGAAATGAATCAAATCACAAGATTATAAGTGGTCATTTTCTTTGTTCCTAATAGAGCCAAAAAACTCTTAGTTGGGTATGTTTCTTTAACTGTACTTGCTGAGGTAGAATTCCTTTTGAGGCTCTGCAAGTCAGGTATACTGTCCTCCCATTAGTATTATGTCAGTCACGCCTTCCTTATATTGTGATCTTAAATTTTTTGGTAAGAATTCTTTAAATTATTAACAGTTTTCTCTTGCTTTTTTCATTTCACAATTGAAGTGCTTTTGAAATTAATTTTATTTAAAAGTAAAGCCAAAATACTGGTTTCTTTTATATATAGAACACTTGCCTTTAGAAAATAATGTCAACTATTTTTACATTGATGTTTGAAAATTCCAAGGTGAAAGTGAAAGAAGAAAAAATATATTAGGAATTAACACAAGCCAGTTGGTATGATTTAGGTTCTGGCTTTTATTATTTATTTCAATTGTTTGGTCATTGAAATTTGTGTAGTTATGGTTGAAGTTACTTATGTTCCTGTCCATGTACTCTTTTGCGTTTCAGAATAGAGATCAATGTTGGTTATATACCATGCCTAGTCTTTTCATTATGACCAGGGAACTGGTATTTAAAAGTGCTTATAGGACAAAATTATTTTGCAGTTTGTTACTATATGAGTTAGTTCACATAATGTTCAAAAATACTGAATAATATTTCATTCAAAGCAGTTGGATTTTAGTGTAAACAAACAATGTACTTCATAAGACTTAACAGTATGTGTCATCATGGAGTATGTTACCTAGTGTGTGTGAAAATATGCTGTTACATAGCATATTTTCCTGTTGCAGTTTGAAAAACAACTTTTTAAAAGAATATCTCCCTTTTTTTTTTAAAAGAACAGCTGTCTTAAGAGCTAAGCATGGTGGCGCACTCCTGTAATCTCAGCACTTGAGGAGTTGAGGCAGGCATGGATTGTTTTAAATTTGAGACCTGGGCTACAAAGTGAGCCCAAGGTCAGTCTGAACCATGTAGTGTGACCCTGTCTCAGAAAGAAAGAAAGATAAGAAAAGAAAAGACAAAGAGAGAAAAGAGAGGAGGGGAGGGGAAGGGAAGTCTCTTATGTGGAGTTTTCATTAAATCTCTTAAAGGTTTCTGTACTGAAAATTATGCTGTTACGTTCCTGGTTGAGATTTACAGTATTAGTATCTCCATAGGCAGTTTCTTACATTTGAAAAGTGAAGTAAATGCAGATTTGGGGCTTATATCTGCGGACAAGCATCAGAGTTCATAGGACACCAGATCAAACATTTGAACAGTCTTGGATCTTTTTGAGACAGGGTCTCATTATGCAGTTCAGGCTGGCTTTGGGTTCAC